ATTGCAGACGTTTTGTTGTATTTCTATTCCCAGATGCGTGGTTTTTAGGAAGATGTTCATCTTTGGTGGCTTCGACGGCTCGTTCGCTCGTAGCGTGCTGCAGTTCATGCCGGGAAATTGCGGTTTCTACCGCAACAAGGACGACTGCTTGAACAGCCAACAGGGCATCAAGTGCGTCCATTACAAGGGCCGGTGCATGAATTCAGCTGAGGCCTGGCACCTGATTAAGGTGGAGAAGCGCGATTCGAGCGCCCTCGACAAAGTGTGCACGTTCACCGGCGTCGGTGCGTCGTTCGACTGCTCGACCATCACCGACTGTTCGACGTGCACTAGCACAGAGGTGCAGCCGTGTCGTTGGTGCAACGGTCGCTGCGTTGGGGACTGCATGGGAAATGCGGAGGTGAGTTTCGGGTTACGGTCTGAAGTGTGAAGGACGGCTTAGACTTTAAAGCCGGGTGAGCGATCGATTGGTGTAATCTAAAGTAAACTGTCAGATTTTTTAAGAGTAACTTTAATGTTTGTCGGCACTAACTCGAGAAATAACTTCATGGTAACTGATCGGGATAATCTCTCAGTATCACGTAGTGCGCAGCGTATGCGTGCTGACAATTCAGGCTTATCAGAAGAGGTATCGTAGTAAGCTGAAGCGGTGTATGAACCCCATTTCTGTGTCGAAAGCCAGCGGGCTTAACTATATTCAGTTACTCGTCGAAATAGTGTTGTCATCTTTCCATTTCGACAGCGCAAATGCGAAAAGTCCGTTAAAGCGGCATTCTCTGGGTATTAAGTGAAGCGCGGCTCACGTCTTAAACTGATATGGCTTTCACCTTTAAGGAATATTTGTACAGGCTGGAAACGAAAACTGAATCGCAAGCAAAGCATGAAGGAAGTATTTGCTAACATTAAGTGAGGTCATTAAGTCAGAGTCATACGTTATTCGGACTTCACTCTTGCCTTCTAAGCAGCGGCACACTGTATCGCAGTTTCATGAAAGGCGACCATCACTGAAAAAGTGGCACCCAGTTGACCTAAATAATTGCTAGAATTGCCAGAGCAAACGATAAAGTGCGTAAGTAATGGGGCGCCACAATTTAGTGGTAGAAGAGCCGAGTTCAAATCTGCTGAAAGGATAATCATCGTCTTAACCGTGAATTCCACTGAGTAACGAATTAATCGTACATTGCATCGGATGATAAGTCATTGACTGACGAATTATAGGGGCAAAATTTTATTCTAGTGCGGTCAAAGTGTATAGCCATACCTCTTATGCCTGCACTTTACCTTGACTTACGGAATAGCTGACTGCTC